TAAATAACTAAACAAACATGCGTCACACACACACACACACACATCCACACACCCAGAAGCCCTTGAACGTAGTCATCGAAGAGGCGCCAAGTAGTCAAAAACCTGCAGCTCACAATAATTTTAATTGCATCAACAACGTTCTTCATCGATACATTCACACACTTACAAACGCGTACACATAAACAGAATTAATTTAGACAGGCATGACATGTGCACACACCTACACACATACATGCTTTTCAGACAGACAGCCACCTTGTATGCACACCATGAATACACACACACACACACACACACACACACAAAACACCCTTTCCTTAGCATGTGTTCAAACAAAAATAGGCCATTCCTAATTAGGACCTCACAACCTGAGCTTTTTCTTCAAAGGCAGCCGCTCCTGCGCTAATCTGAGGCACCGCTTCATTATGAATTCTTCAAAGTCCCACCCAGCTGTCAAGCAAGCTTGTCGAAAGGGCCGTTATTAGTGAGGCAAGTACAGCAGGCACAAAGCCCGGTCTGTTGTTCTGTGTGGCCCCCTGGTCTGCTGGGACTTGTTCCCGAGGATAAGAGCTCCATTTGGGCTCGGTGGATGCCAAAAGCCCCCCACAGGGAGAATCGGCGGTATTTGTCTGTACAGAGATATATGATAACACATGCTTACACTACTGACGACTATTAAAAACATTACACAAAGCAAGATTTTATATCACTTTTTTTTTTTAATTTCTCATTTTTATGCCAATATTGCAAGTTTTTTTTCTCTTCTTTTTTTTCTCCTTTTTTTTCCTTCTTTCTTTTTTTTAACTTCTTTTAATGACATACAGATTTGAGCATGATCTGGAGCTGCAATATGTACAAAGAACAAAACTAACGTATGATATGAAAAGAAAAAAAAAAAAGAATCGTCCCCTTTGTTTTGACGTTATTGCTAAAATGTTACAAACGGCACAAGTTTCTACCATCAGCAACCCTTTGAGCACTGAGACCACTAACACGACCTGCTACCATCTACGAGGGGGACACACGGACACAGTGAGAGAGAGAGAGCAAAGGACAGGATGGGGGGGTGAAATGTGTGAGGGAGGTCAGCGCCCCGTGCCGGACACACACGAGGGCTCCACACTCCCTTTTTCTTATTTTGGATTTATTTTGGAGATCTGTTTAAAGCTGCCTCTCACTCTGCCCTGTTTAGTTTAGCAGTGCATGAAAACTACATTATAAAAAAGACATTTGGCATATTAGAGGATACATACATTGTTCAGAGCTCATTATATTAAAAAACAAAAATAAAAAAACCCAACGAGAACAGCTGCTTTTGGAAGAGTGAAAACAAATACGACCAGACGCACAAAGAGAAAGTTGAGATATTTTCCGTTGCAGCGTCGCTAACGAGACGGCGTTGTGTGTTTTTTCGTGGTTACACAGCGAGCTTTATCCACAAGGCCTGTAACATTTATCTCCTTAGCCACCCACCCCCCCCCTTTTGACAATGATACGTTCCCCTCTTATGAAATAGACCTGTAAACCAGATCAGATTGTCATGGCGACACATTTTGAAAACCATGCATCACCCCTCCCGTCCCCCCCCCACCACACACACACACACACACACACACACACACAGACAGATTTTTTCAGAATCAGCCGATGCGATTGCAGACTCACGTGAGGAGAATTAGAGGAGACGGAGAGTGGGGTGGATGGGGGGGGGGGTTGCTAAGGCTATGTGTTTTTGTTAGAGCTAAAAAAAAAAAACGCTGGGGTGAAAAATCTAACGTAAAAAGGGCGGGGCCCCCCCCCCCCCCCCCCCCGAAGGGCCCGGGTGGACCCCCCCGGCCGTGACGTCGACAGGAAGAAGAGAGAGAGAAAAATAATAAAAACAAGGAAATACCCCCCCCCAGGGCCAACCGAGGCAGCACGGGCAATAATGCACTTTTCTTCCTTTCTGTTGTTTGACATAAGACAAAGTGGGAGGGGGGGACGGGGGGGGGGGGGACCGCGCGGCTTTGTACCAATAATTTAAAGAATATCAATATTACAATATAAAACATTTAACATCAACGGCCGACAGGTGGCCGAGGGGGCATAACTTAATCTTTTTTTATTTTTATTTTATTTTTTACAACGAAGGGGGGTGGGGGCTGGAGGGGTCGGGGGGGTGCAAGCAAATCCTTTTGTTTTCTGTTCCTATTTCAAGGGTTTGTCCCGAAGCAGACATTCAAGTTGACAGTATTGTGTTGGGTGTAAAACCAGATCACAGGAGATAATCGGACATTTGGAATTGTAGATGAGGAGGGGGGGGGGGGGGGGGGGGGGGGGGGGTCAGGAACACACTTTGAAATGGAGCGAGTCAGACTCAATATTCCATTACAGCGACTACTTATGACAGTTACACACACACGCGCGCACACACACACACACACACTTTGCTGGCTGGTGAACTAGTGCTCAGGCGGACAAAAACTAAAAAAGATGAAATAACCTGTACAATATTGCTGTTCTGTTTGAAAACGCACATCTTCAACAACACACATTTAGAAGGCCTTTATACTCCTACAGGAGACGCAGATGAGTGCAACTACTCGGACAGTGAGTTCAACAACGCACACAAGCTAATTAACCAGAGAGCTTTTTTTTTTTTTGTTTTTCCTTTTCTTCTTCTTCTTCTTCTTCTTCTCCCCGTCGTCGTTGTCTTGAAAAGAAGGCTGAAAAAGAGCCCACGCCGCTCGTGAAACATTGTACCAAAAAGTGGGAAAAAAAAGGTGCTGGGCACCGTATGAGAATAAAAAATAAAATAAATCAATAAAAAACGGGCTTTATTGTACTTGTACACAGAGAAAAGGGAAGGCCGAGAGAGTCCCTCCGGAAGGCTGCGTTTTGCATGATAAAGAGCTGAAGTACTGGGCTTTTTTTTTTTTAGTTTGTTTTCCTTTATCGGTAAGGCCACATCAAATTGAACAATAAAAAAAAAAAAAAAAAAAAAAGAAAGTGTCCCGCCTCTAACCGGAAGACGCCTCGCCAGCTGCGGCTCGGACAGTTGCGCCGGGTCACGATGCGCCGGCAGGATGCAGGGGGACGGGGACGCGTGAGCGGCGCTAAGGCTTCCTCTGTGAGTCCACGACCACGACCACGCTCGGCCCGGCCCCCTCTGGGCGGACCTGCTGTCGCTGGGTTCCTTCGCTCCGCGTGGGGTCCGTTCCGTCCGCGGCGCACAGAGAGTATTGCAGGCAAGGCAGAGGCGTTGCTTAAAGCTTTTCTTTTTAAAGACTTCATTAAAAAAAAAACAACAATGATGAAACATCGGCCCTCTGAGCCCCCCCTCACCCCCCCACATAAAAGAAACAACCCTTGCTTGTGTAAATAAACAACCCAGAGTTCAGGCTTTTAGTTTTTTTCCTCAACAGAAGCAACGGGTGTAAAAATAAAAAGTTCAATCCGAGGACTGAAGAACAGGCGTTTGTAGTGAGGTCGCAACAACATACAGGTTGGGAGTTTGGACCTCAAAGGGGGGGGGGGGGGGGGGGGGGGGGGGGGGGGCAAAAGGGGGATGGGGGGGCTCAGAGGAAGAATAGAAAGTATTTGGTAACAAAAGTGTACTATATGTTAATACAAAAAAGGTATGGAGAAAAATGTACCTTTACTAAAGCTTATACAAGATCCTTGGTCCATAAAAACTATGTTATGTCACGTTCGATGTGTCCCTCCCACAGCGACACACCGCAGATCAAAGAGGGAATAATTATTGAAACAAGTGGAGGGGGGTATGGGGGGGGGGGGGGGGCGGAGACTTTGTTCCGTTTAGCACACGGTGGATGTATTGTTGTCGTGGTTCCCGTTTCTGGCGGCCGCAGAAAGGCGGCGGGGTTGGTTGTGGGGGGAGGGGGGGGGGGTGTCCCTCGTTCCGAACGCCGGGACTGGGTAGGCTGGACCCTAAGGTAACCGGGGCCGAGAGGGAGAGGAGGTGGGGGGGGGGGGGGGGGGGGTCACGGAGCACCGTAATCGCTTACTCTCTGGTTGGCTGACGGCGCCGCGATGTCGCTCCTCCTCCTGATTTCCCTCGCTTGCCCTTTGTTTTTCATCCCTCCACTTTTTTTGTACCCCCCCAAAAAATGAATACGCAGCACTTTAGAGTGAGTCAGTCTTTGTGTTTCCTCCCCCCTCGTTGTCTTTGTATACCTTGTGGTTACATTCGCTCTCTCAAGGCATATAGTATGGAGTGGGCGGGCCCTCCCCTCCCCCCCCCCCCCCCCCCCGGCGTGCGTTAGGAGACCACGGCGGCGGCGGAGGACGAGGACGTGACCCCGCCCCCGGAGGTGCTGTTGGGGCCGTACACGCCGCCGGCCTCCTGGCTGTTGTTGCTGAGCAGGCTGGAGTTGCCGGCCCGCAGGATGGCGCCGGCGGCGCTGCAGTGGGGGCGCGGCCCGGGCTCCGGCGTGTAGGTGAAGGTCAGCGTGGTGGAGTAGATGATGCCGTCGTTCCGGACCAGCGTGACGGGCACCTGGACGGGCTGCCGCACCCAGCGCCAGCCCTCGCGGAAGGCCGAGATGTCGGGCACCACGCACAGCATGCTCTCCGCACACCTGGCCGGCGGGGGGCGGGAGGGGTGGGGGGATCGGTGTTAAACTTAACCACTAAACTAAACCAGCAGAAATAATTAGAAGGAAATGACTTATTTCGAAGCCTAAATATTGGTAAATACAATTTTCTAATATGAAAACCTTTATTTTAATGGACCAACTGCGTCCCCATTTTAGTCCGGGCCCAAAGTGACTCTGGCTGTAACGCTCGCCGGGTGGGACTGATAAACACATAAAGTATATACTGCATCTATAAAGCAGAGGTAATGGCTTTTTACAAGGATGTAGCGCTGCAGCACCCGTCCCCCGTCCCCCCAAAGGACTTTTGGCTCGCTCGAAGCAAAACAACCGCTGGACGCTACACGCCTCGACATTACCCATTCCAACAGTCTGACAGAGAGGATTTTAAAAGCTTTCATTAATTCAAATTACACGGATAACGTATTCATGCCTCCATTACAGGCACTACCCTTACTCTACGACCGCTTATTAAAAATCCCTAAATCGGTCCTAATGGACAATTTGCGCGCTAACGAGGACAAACAAAAGGAGCGCTCGGTGGACGGTGCGGGGACACACCTGTACATGGTCTCCGCCTCGACGTCTCCGAACCAGACCCGCAGGTTTGGAGTGAAGTTCTGTCCCGTCAGCTCCAGCATGGCCACGTCGCCGCCGCCGTTCAGCTGCGGAACGGAGGAGATCACACCGCGGTTATGGAAAAGGAATAAAACGACCCCGCGGGCCAGAAAGAGGGAGGCGGTGAGGGGGGAGGAAGGGGAGTACCTGCAAGCTCTCTACCACAGGCACGGGGGTGACAGGCGAGTGCACGGGGCCCATGCCCTCGTAGAAGGTGTATTCAGCCTTGTCCGTGCTGATGATTGTCCAGGAGGCGCCGTCGTTGATCATCTCCTTGTTTGGTTCCTTTGGGCATGGAGTGGCCTGGCGGAGGGAGGAGGTGGGAGTGGGGGGGGGGGGGTTAATGCACATCTGGCGCAAAGACACACCCACCAACGAACACGCCGCCGCGCCATTCTGAAACATCCCGTAGCAACAGAGGCGAAGAACAGATGCTGACACTAACTTGAAACTGGATGATCCTCTCCTGGGAAAGGCACAGGTACATGCGCTCCGTGTCCTTCAGGTAGAAGGCACACTTGTGGAGCTGGGAGACGGGGTCGTCGGCGTCCAGCAGCGCCGTCTGCTTGTCCACTTTACGGATGATCTGAAAGGGGTGGGGGGGGGGGGGGGGGGGGGGAGAGAAGAGGACGGTTGAAAACAAAGAGAAGGGGACTGAATGAAATGATGAAATGACTGTAAAAGAGCATGAGACTGATGTCTGCAAAGGTCACTTTGCACAACAGAGGTAAATGTTTATCTTAATCCACTCGGGGAAACACACTTTGTCGCACAAGTTAAATAAGTTCAGAAAAGAGAAATGTATTCCTGCCATGCCAGTGACGGAGCACACCAGCTTCACCGTCTGGCCGTAGTGGATGTAACCGTCTCTCACAGTGAACTCTTCCCCTTCTGACTCCTCGTCATCCACTGAAAGGAAAGCAAAGAGGAAGTCAGCGCCGCGGCGAACTAACCCCCCCCCCCCCCCCAGTCTCGTCACTCCCACTCGAACCCACATCCAGTCACTCAGGGAGGCCCGAGGACGAAGTGACAAGCCGTCCGACCGCATCTCTCACTTTGCTCACGGGGGGGGGGGCCTCCGTGAGGTTTTCGTTGTTCCTGAATTAAGCATTCTAGCCCCCCCGTTGACTGTGGTGGACTTACGCAGGTGGATGTAGAAGGCGCCCCACTGCTGGGAGCTGGCGTGGAAGTTGCCGCCCTCCACGTGTAGGTAGCGCGTGCTGACCGTTTGGGAGCGAAGCCGGTTGAAGAGCGCCACCTTGGTCCCCGACGCGATGCACACTGTGGGGGGGGGGGCACACACAAACACGGAGACGTTTTACCGCTCACGGCTTATCTCAGCGGACATGGTGGAGTGAAGCCGCGGCGCCCTCTGGTGGTCGGAAATGTAACGTAATAGCTTCTTAGCATCATAACGAATACGGGTAGTGATGATGAACGTCAAGCGTTTTGGGGTATAATAAAATATATGAGAATAAAAGATTTACGTAATAAATGTGACGTTGAAATATGTGAATGGGTCATTTAAGAAATACAAAACCGCTCTTCTTTTGTCAAATCCGTGTGCTCTGACAGCTTATAAGTGACTTCTGTTCGGTTTTCTTTCGATTCGATATTTCTTTTTTATTCGTCTATGCTGTCTGTGTTCACCATTTGGCCAGGCATCTTTTTTTAAAAGAAAGTCTGTTAAATGAAGGATGCCCACAATTTACACAATATACAACTTTCATGTACCGCCGCGAAGGAGCCATCTCAATAAAACATGGACTTGCCTGAAGAATGTAGCAACGCAATCGGTACTCTGACCACGACAGAGAGAAAAACACAGATCCCGACACGGAGTCGAGGCACGTCGGGCACAAACTCACGGTCGGCGTTTTTCAGCGACTGCTTCTTTTTGGAGGGCTTGGAGATGACTTTGATCCTCTTGCTGAGGAAGACGCCGATGTCGGCGCTGTTGCCGTAGAACATCTTGACGGACAACATGAAGTGCTTTCTCTTGTCGGAGTCGGATATGTACAAGGTTTTGGCTGTGCAATAGTTCTGAGGGCGGAGTGGGGGGGTGTGGAAGAGGAGGAGAAGAAGGACGGCAATCAGCACACGTTAGATTCTCTTATGTTCCTGTTGCAAGTGACTCATTCCTGGGAAAAGACACACAGGGACTGACGGGACAACTCAGTCCACGTTGCTTCTTCTTCTGGTTACATATTTGTCATCGCTGTCAACAGCGGAATCCCTCAAACGCTCAGGCCGCCAGTGTCATTACTGTAAAGGGCCTGAGGGAAAGGTGTGCTGCTGGGTCAGCGCTGTGCGACACCACGTGTGTGTGTGTGTGTGTGTGTTGTACCTTTCCCTCTAAATTAAGCTGCTGCATTTCTTGGTCGCTGTTGCCGATGCCGATGAAGGCGCAGGGCTGCGACTCCTGCTCGGAGCAGCCGTCCCGCTCCATCTGCTCCTTCTTTTTCTTCCAGCCGCTACCCATCAGGTAAACGCAGGGAGGGGGGCAGAAGAACCTGAACACACACACACACACACACACATATATATGTATGAATAGATGAATAGTCTGACAGAAGCGCGTTGTGCATCTCTCGATTCCCGCCAGCAGAGGGCGCAGCAGCGCCGCGTGAAGACAGAAACTGGCACCAACACATTGTTGTTTGTGTACCACCCGAGCCGCTCTCTCCTATAGCTGCCCCCCCCCCAATTCAGCCCGCCATGAAACCCATTTCTGCCCCAGAAAGAGAAAAAAATCATATCATTCGGCTTCTTGCTCCGCTACCAGCAATCACACTGGCATCATGCGATGCTGCATCACGCCCCCCTCCACCCCCTCCCTCCCCCGTTACTGATCAGACGAAACTTCACTTCTGCCTCTGCGGGTGTTTTGTCTACTTTCGCTGGCTATAAAAAGACAGAAAAAGGAAGATCATTCTCACTGCGCCCCCACTTTCTCGGGCGCTCTGCTTACGCGACATGCAGATGTGACCAGGGGGGGGGGGGCGAGACAGACAGGGAGCATCATGGGGGGGTTTTGGAGGCCAGAAGGATGTCTGGAAACCTGAATGTGTGTGTGAGTGGTCCTGGAGCCCTTTTGGCCTCAGTGACACCTGACACAGTCCTTCTACCAAAAGGATGAGAGTTCCTCTGACTGAGGAACCTCAACCGATCTCCCTCCCTCCAAAACAGAAACCTGGCTGATTCTCCCCCCGAGAGGGAGGCGTGATGAGAGCGCAAGCAGCTGCTGCAGCTCGGCCAAGGGAGCCGCCGGCGGAGAGAGTGTGAGGGGGGGTGGGGGTGGGTAAAAAGGTGAAAGCAGAGTTACAGGAAGGGCTTTGAGGAAGAAGTTCCAGAAGAGAGGGAAGAAAAAAAAATCACTGAGAAAGGGAAAGCAAGACTGAGACCTGTGTGTTCTTGTCCTTGAATTCTTACACCTCAATGCTCTAGGGTTCTACACCCCCCCCCCCCCCCCAGGAGATTTATCCTCCCCCCCCATTCCCCCGCTGCTCCCTTTCCTGCCGCCCCACTGCGGCCTTCACCTGGACGTCGCCCCTCATTTCCTCCTCTGACCTCTGTTTGATACGGGAGGTCAGAGGGGTCGAGGTACCCACGCTGCAAGTCGGAATGTGTGTTTTTCATTGACTTCCCAGTCATTGCCCCCCCCCCACCCCTCTCGCCCGAGGGAAACCTTAATAACGCCCCAGGAAAGGAAAAGAAGCTGCCCTCCGTGCCGCACTCACCTCTTCTCATTGCCGTAGGACTTCTGTGCAACTTTTGCGTGCAGGATCATGACGGTTTGGTCCCCTCGCTCCTTCAGGTAGTTCCTCATCGCTTCTCTGCAACGTGAAAAGGGGGGGGTGGGGGTGTTAACGAGCCGATTCTGCAGTGTGATTCGTTGGGGCGCTGTGCATCGTCGAGCAGGTCTTTAAAACGCTATAGTGTGAAGGGAGGAAGAAAAAAAAAGAAAAGAAAAAGAAAAGGAAGGAGAGAAAAAAAAAAAGCCATCGTGTGAAGTGTGGAACGAGAACAGAAACACACATTCGGTAGACTCGCAGCGACCTCTGGCAAACCTCACGGCCCGCTCGCCAAAAATGCTCCGCTCTCCCCCAGCTGGGTCCGTTTTGAGGGACAGCGAGGAGCACAGGGCGGCGGAGGAGGGGGGGGGGGTGTAACGGGGGTTGAGGGGAGAGGGAGGTGAAGAGAGAAGAAGGAAAAAGAAAACACCAGAGCTGAAAGAAAACGGGGGAAAAAAACGAAAAAAAAAAAAAAAAAGGAAAACGACAGGGCTGAGCTCACCGACAAAAGACTCTTCATCTGGAGTCCAATTGCTGCACTGCAACGGCACACACACACACACACACACACACACACACTTTATATGTGTGGGACCAGTTGGAGTTTATGCCGTGCTGAAAGCCGCCGGCGGGGGGGGAGGGGGGGTCAACGACCGGCGCTGGGATGCACAATTAAGACGCATGACACGCATGGACATCAACACACACACGCACGCACGCACAGATGCCAGTGACACCTGACACGCACGGGCTCGGGTTAGCTGAGGCTTTTGTCATTGAAAGCAACCCCCCCCCCCACCCGGGGGTCTGGTCTGTGTATTAATTTTCATAATGGGCAGGAAGTGACAACTGTTCCTCGGCCTCGAAGCCGCGATGCGTCCCGGGCGTTTTTTTGTTTCGACCCAGCGCCTTTCGTCGGGTGAGAAGCAGCGGCGGCGGCGGCAGCGGCCCGATCCCAGAATTCCGAGCACTTGAGGCCGATGCGACGCCGTCTGATACCGTTTACACGCCACATGGAGGAAGTTATTTCCTTCAGCCAGATGCAGCGGAGAAAGAAAAAAAAAAAAAGAAGAAGAAAGAAGAAGTTGCACACATCGCTTTTAAAAAGTCGCGGTTTAATTCAAACTTTCACGTTTTCCTCGTTGCCGATGAACGACACAACCTCCCCGCGGACGCCGGAAGTGTTTTTTGTTGCCAAAACAAGCATTCAAAAGGCCGACATGCATTTATCTGATCATTAACTCGTTTTACCAGCTGCGCCCCAATTAGAGTTCCAACTTGGAACGAGACGCACGCGCTCTTCAAATCGGTCTCATCGCACACACTGCTGCAATGAAAAAGACACACACACACACTGCAAATCCGTCGGTACAGATGGGGAGGCTCGGCGAGGGACATCCGGGGCGAGAGACATAAAAAAGGCGTCTGCAGAAGAGCGGAGCGCGAATGTGTGACGACACACCAAATGCATAAAACGCACAATAGAAAACAAACATGGGGGTGAAGCTGAGCAGAGAAAGTCGCACACTCTGTGCACCTTTAATGGCCTTTAAGTTGTCCTTTTAATGCACGTATTCATCTCAGACAATGAGTGGACAGGAAGAGAGAGAAAGAGATTTGGTGTCTTTGTGAAAGCCGCGAGGGGAGGATGAGGAGGAGGAAGAAGAAGAAGAAGAAGAAGTGAGAGCGGCAGTGACCAGCACATTTCAGCTTCCTGTGCAGGAGTGCAGACACACACGCAGTCAACAGATGTCAGATATTTGTATGCAAACAAAGCAACAACAACCACAACGACTCAACTACAAACCACAAAATGGGAGAAAAAGACAAAATAGTGCCAACTGGGGAATCAATGCCCAGGGACAGGAAGTCAGCGCCGTGAGCATTTTAATCTGGACTGAGGCAGAAAGCCATGCGTCACACAAAATGGGAATAAAAAGAGAGAGGGGGGGGGCAGACAAGCAGCTTTTTTGCCATGTTATTGATAAATGTCACTCAGTAAATGTGATTAAAATGAGAGGAAGAAGAGATGTGGACAAAAATGTGCCAGGCAGACTTTCAACAAGAGACAAATATTCAACAGCCGGCACTACGGGGGGCATAATGTGTGTGTGTGTGTGTGTGTGTGTGTGTGTGTGTGTGTGTGTGTGTGTGTGTGAGAGAGAGAGAGAGGAGGGTTTCTGTCTAAGTCAGGCTACAGATAGAGCGGAGAAGACGAGCCTCAGTGCGTACATCTGCCACAGCGTCTACAGCGAAGCGGTGCTGTCACATGACCCCTTGTGAACACACACGACGGAGGGGCACACCAACACACACACACACACACACACACACACACACACACAGCCGATCAGATGGAGATCAGCGCGCGCACTGGTGAATCACAAAGGAACACCTCCGTGGTGTGTGTGTGGTTCGGCTGTCAGCTGCCCGGCTTCTTTAAACCTGGCAGTGAGGCGACCCAGCGACTACCTGAGAGCCCGTCGCGCTCCGTGTGTGACCTCCAGAGGGCCCTTGTGGGCCTAAAAGCAAGAAGCATCTTACTCTCAGCTCTGATGGTTTTTTGTATCAGATTTTGCTGTAATTTCAGGTGCTTTGTTTTAACCTCTGAACAGTTTTGCCTTCTTTTACTCGCGCTGATTCTTTTTGTTGAACCCGCGACCCGGACGTTTTTGGTCTCATGGGCGTCGACGTGTTCCATGAGCACAATGATGAACCGCTAGGACCCTGCGCGTGGATGCGTGTGCACGGGGACAAGCGTTTGTTGTTTTAGATTAGTGGCACCGGCTCAGTCCGCTTTGTGAGTGGGAAAGGAAACGTGTAACTCATCCATTACATCTCAATCGAGATGGGGGAGGGAGGGGGGGGGGGGGGGCGCCAGTGTGCACACCTCAAAACAAACAATAGCCGGGGACAAATTACCCTTCATCGGGGTTTTATTTGAGTCTGTGTTTCTTGGCAAAGGAGCGGAATAATAAAAAGGGAACTATTGAGCTTTCCCATCTGAGGCGATTGAGTCCTCCCTGCGGTTCGAGGGAAGAGAGCCCTTTAAGGGGCGCCGCCCCCTCCCCCCCCCCAAACCCCCAACGGACGAGGCTCATCCACACGTGTTGGCATGTGCACGTGTGTCGATCCCCAGGCGGAGGAGCCTTCCTGACCGGGCGGCCCTGCAGGACCCAGAGCTCCAGCTGCTTCTACCCAGTGGGATCCCGGTCTCACCGCCACGGGTGTTTCCATGGCGATGGACGGGAATAAATCGACTCGATGTTTTGATTGTGATCAACGTTTTTACCGCCGACAGTCAACTGATTTTGGAAGGATTTCTCAAAACGCTCGTGTGCGGTCTACACATACAGGAAGACGTACAAATACAACATGACAACAGCAGCTGTTATGGGTGACGACACACACACACACACACACACACACACACTCACCTCGTTAGGCGCAGTGGCTGAGGCCGCTCCCCGAACTTCCTGCAAAGACAAAGTGAGAACACAACATGAGTGGGCTGGTTATCGACCACAAACACACTCTGAGTAAGCACTGCATCGCACGGCGGTGAACGCGCGCGCGCGCACACACACACACACACACACACACACACACACACACACACACACACACACACACACACACACACACACACACACAGCTCAAATGAAGGCCAGCGCATCACATCTTTGTTCCAACATTTTTAAAGTGTTGTTAGAGGTGCAAAGAGCCGATGACTCAGTATTCCTAGAGGATGCTGGGAACGCACAAGCCACGACGTGCACGGCTTGAGATTACAGCAACCGCACAGACCTACTGAGGTTAACGAGGCTTTAAGCGGCGTGAAGCTCCGAATGCGTCAGAGATGTGCGAGCGACACCAATGACCAAAAACGTCATTGACCATAACGGACGGCACGTAAGGAAAATACTGGTATATTATATGCAATATAATAACTGAAAACCCTCCCCGAAAAAGTACACATTTCTTTTTTTTAAACTTTCCCCTCACTTCCGAATGCTTTGAACGGCCCCCACTCGCTTCCACACCACGTACCTTCACCGGCGACAAAACGCCGCTCCTAACAAAGCGCGCGCGGTCGACTCGCAGCAGGCCGACTTTGGCAGCGCGATGGGGTCATAACACTGGGAGCCACCGGCTGCAAGTGGCGAGGAAACCGCAGGTGGAGACAAAGGGGCCGCCGCCCACTTTGCGACGCGCTTCGCTGATGGTTGAGCAGTGGCGCGTGCGACCGGTTGAGAAGAGTCGAGCAGCGCTTGTTCTTTTAAACACACGTCACTTCATATCACGATTTTTTTTTGCACAAGTCTACACTAGATTTTGATATATTCATGTTTGAGGAAAAGGAAGCCTGGAAGATACAGTCGCTGAATCAAACATCACGGGTGGTTTAATCTTTCTTTTTTTCTTTAAAGCCAACTATGATCTTAATATGAGAACATTGAGACGTTACTTTACCAAACAAAGTGCATTCTTAGCTCTGCTGCTTGTATTGTTTGCTCAGACAAAATCTTCGTCCAGGTCAGATAGCTTCACTTTAAGTTCAGTATCAACAGATTAAAAAAAAAAAAATGAAGAAAAAAGAAATTGCTTAAGGCCAGAAACGAGAATCAAGGGAGAACTACTGCCATGGTTGACTCATGCGTTGAGTAATCCGTTTAAAAAGTGCAAAATGACTAAATTAACTGCCCGCGGGACAAGGAGTCTTCTTCAAAGGCCCCGACGATTCAGATGCACATTAACCAAGCACCAGATGCTCACAGGGTGAAAACCGCTAGAAGTGATTACAGTTGCAGGGTTATCGTCTGCCGATCAACGGCATCGAGTAGCTGCCGCCGCTCCACGTCCGCCCCTGTCGATCATTCTCATTTGCATAGTCTAAATGCGTCCGGGCAGACACTCGCTGGGGTTCAACCGGCACACTGCGGTGCACGTGACTCTGCAGAAAAGGGGAAATAACTGCAGAGGTCTACGCGCTTTGACTCGTGTTATCAGGGCCTTAATTGCTGCAGCAAAGCACACAGATCGAAGTGCATGCACACGGATGCAGCATGTAGGGGAGACTGTGCAGAAGAGTGTGTGTGTGTGTGTGTGTGTGTGTGTGTGTGTGTATCCTTCCCTCGTGTAGGATGTGCAGCACGCTGCTGATAAGTATTTCCATACATCTTCCAAGCCGTCCATAAACACAGCTAATGTGTCACTCGGGTTAAAGGGTTGGGGTTTCTTCGGGATGGGGAAGATGGGGGAGGGACTTAAAGGTCTGGAGAAAGCGTGATTGGTGCGGCAGGCAGAAGGAGGAAGTGGAGGTGGAATAATGGGAAAGGAGGGCAATCAATAAGGTTCCCACAGTGAAACACTGATGCCTCAGCCGGCTAATGGATTCCAGACGCCGCCGCCCCCCCCTCCCCTCCCCCCCCTCCCTCCCTCCCTCCCTCTGCTGCAAACCGGGGATCGCGATAGCGGGCAAGGAGACTGCGGGTAAAGTGAGGGGCGAGATTAAAGGCGTGGATCCGTACGCAGAGAGGAGCTGCAGGGACTTAGAGGTGGATACGTGGAGCGCTCACGGCTGCATTCGCTTGAAACATCCATCATGGAGAAAGAAAAACAACACAAAAACGGAAAAAGGGCATTAGGACACACAGCGGTTGTGGTCTGTGCTGCTTTATAGCGTACGTACTATAGTTCTTTGTGCTCCGGACGGGGGGAGACTTTGAAGCAATGAAAAAAGGGCGGTTGCATGTGTTGGCTTTTGCAAGTTCTGTGAAGAAGGGAAGACGAAAGAAAAAAAAAACACGGTGTTAGCGTCGCCTCGTCGAGCTCCCTTTGACACACTCACACCAACCAGAGGACCAAACACAGGAAACCACAAAAGGTAGCGCTGCAGGCAGAAGAAGAGGCTGCAGCATCTGCAGGGTGTTTGTTTGTTTGTTTGTTTGTTTCACGACAAAGTGACTCGAAAAACCATCCTCCAATATCAAAATGAGTGCAGGGCTTTTCTAACACTTCATTTAACACGCGGTTTAGAACTGGATGAAAAGAAAGAAGAAAAAAAAACAGGTGGACTATTACGGCCCTCGAGTGTCGTCAGGTCGATGTCCGAAATCTGCAGCAGCAACGACGAAAATTTCCTCCGTCGGAGGCCGATCAACGGGCTGCACCTTCGCCCCAGAGGGCATCCGGAAATAACTAATGGTTATAATAGATTATGTCACCACCAGCTTCCCCTTTCCTCCTCCATCGACTCTGCAGCACTCGCACGCATCAAAAGCAGTATTTGGGTTTACACTACGCTGCAGAATAAATAAATGAATAGGAGGCGGCGGCGTGGCGGCAACGTCATGGGCAGATATTTTGGTGCGGAGGAATCCCTTTGGTCACTTTTTGGCTGCGGCTTTCATGTGATGTGAAGCCTTTGTGATTTAAAAATAAAAGAACCAAAGAAGACACAATCAGATTTGTGACCGCCGTGGAACTCTGTATGAAGTCGGTACTTTTTAGAAAAGATTGAAGTCCAAACGTTTGACGCAATTGCCAATTTCCACTTCTGAATCGCTTGCTTGTGCCGCATAATGACTCCCTACAACATTTATTTGTTTTGCGGCCTCCTTGGATCAACCACTCCGACGTCCGGAAGGCGTGCGTGACTGAGCGCGTTTCCTTTGCCTCTCGCGAGCGACGCCGCCGCCGAGCTCTGGGCTGAAATGTCACAACCGATCGGCTCTCCGGGAGGATTCCGAAACGCGCCCAGACGCAGAGCAAATAATCGAGCAAACGGACGGCAGCTCGTTCCAATCAGGAGGAAAGTCACATCGAGGCGCACGTGAGGTAACCGACCCGAGTCTGAGGCAAAGAAAAACTAACTTCAATCCAGGTTGCTTCAAATCGTTATGTGGCGATGAATGAATGATTGACTGAATGTTTACCTCGCTGACTCCTGACATTGAAACCTGGTTTCATTTAAAGTTAAATGAAGTCACCGCATCTCTTCCAGGAGTACCGTGACCCTCAAAACATCAATGCTACGTCAGCGTGACAGTAAACCCGAACCTGTGGATGGAGGGCGGAGGGACGACCGCAGGGGCTCCACTCGTCTCTCTGACAGGTTGTATGACACGTGTGTGTGTGTGAACCCGGCCTGGCGTTCACACTGGGACGTGTGACTGACAGCACAGCGCGGGTGAAGAACACACGAAATCCCACACGGGAGGAAGAAAGAAAATAGAAATACACACCGTGACGTGACCTCACACAAAGTGCACAAACCCGTTTTTTTTTTTTATTTGTTTGGTTGCTCGATTGCTCGTGCGTGCGTTTGAGAAAAGAGAGGAAACTTTTCACATTCCACGGTAATGCCCCTGGTTGCCGCGGTAACAACAGCTGGATTCGGGTCGTTGGGCATGACCGGCTTGAAGAGGCGATGTTATTTCTTATCGACGGGCAGGCCGGCGACCACGTTAAAATACGGACAAACGTTACAGGAGCTCTGAAAATATCGTCTACCTACAGACGAAAACGCCGCCATCGCTGTGAAGTCTGTGGCGGTGTGATAACGAGTCGACACCTTTGGCTGAGCGCTTTCATGTTTTGTCTACAGTTCAGAGAGCCAAACACACGTCTAGCGTTTGTGGACTCAGTGACCCCCCCCCCAACCCGACCCCCCCTCCCGGGGCAGAAAAACACCAGCCGCAGGCGCCAGACGCCATCACTCAATTGCTCAAGGTCAAGGGGTCAGGGTTTGACCTCAGAGGTCAACTGGCAGGCAGCGTTTTTTGTGGATACAGAGATGAGTCTGCCCGCTCAAACAGACCTGATTTGAGTATATATATATATATATATATATATATATATATATATATATATATTAGGGGGTGTAACGATTCATTCACTGAATCAATAAATCGATTTATATTCCTGCGATCCAACTGAATCGATCTGTGCTCCGCAAATCGGCATTCCGGACGACATATATATCGATTACAATGGTACATATTGGATTGAAACTGCACATTGGATTTAAGCACAAAAACGGCATGGATGTGTGTTTGTTTGTTTGTTTTTTAGCACTTTAGACACGTTAAACGTTACTCGATTCAGTCTGCCTGTCTGTGACGTCATCAGTACGCAGCGGCAGCCGCGCGAAACTCTGAACAACAACAAAACACAGCGTGGAGGAGACGACTGCGAGCAATACGTTTACAAACCAACTTATCGATCCAGCGCGTGGAAACATTTGGGCTTTTGCAAACACGGAGGTGTTCTAAATAAGTCGGTCGCTGTTTGTAGAATATGTAGAAGCCAAATAAAAAACCACGGAAACACAACAAATCTTTCCGGCCATCTACTAAGGCGCCGTGGCATTAAACAACGCCGACAGTCAGGCGCCTCTAGCAGCGTCACCGCTGCAGCAGCAGCAGGTAACTGCATCTCTGCAGACACCTCAGGCCTCGCCAGCACCAAACTC